ATTGGCATTATTGGATGATTCCTTTGATTCTTCTTGTTGTGGAGCATTTTCTTGAGTTTGTTGTTGTTGGGCTGCTCCTGGGAAGAGATTATTCAACAATGATGACAAATCGAATGGATTGGCTCCTTGTTGTTGTTGACCATTATTAGGATTATTGAACAAGGATCCAACAACATTTTCAATGAGTGGAGCAAATTGTTCAAAACCAGCTCCCATACCACCTCTTCTTCTACAACCACCACGTGACCATGGACAACCAGATTGAGGACGAGCATCACCAAATGGACAATGTCCTTGACCTCTTCTACCACCATGCAAATTGAAATTCTTGAAAATTTCACTAAATGGATCCTTTGGACTATCATTGTTATCAGTTTCACTCTTTGGAACAATATTTTGGCAGACAATCTTGATAACAGTTTCAGAAGCGAGAATTGAGTTCAAAATCTTCCAATCTTCTTCATCTGACAAGGATACCCAATCATTTTGATCGTCAAGATAGAAGAGTTTGAAACTGGTATCTGTGACAATGGATTTGGTTTTCAATTTTTGAACGAATTCCTCAAAGGTAATGCCACTTTGATCCAAAATGAGTCTGTGGACACTCTTTGGTTTTTCCTCCTTCAAGGTTGTTTCAGAGAGTGGTTGAATTGAGGAGTTTTCATAAAGGAAAACTTTGAAATGTTTACTAGCAGTTACTTGTTTTGCGCTGAACATGTTGTTGTGCAGTTTTTTTGTTATTGGAATATTGTGAAGAGAATAGTGTTGAGGACTCCTTTTTATACCTCTTCAAACCGAACGTTTTAGAAGTGCTAATGTATGTCTATTATTAATTCTATTTTCCAATAGACTCTTTCCGAGGTACCGTAGCAATTCATTGAGGATAATTGAGCGCAGTTTTCTTGTTTGATTGAAGTAGAGCACAACATAAGGTCCTTTTGGTTGAAGCGTGCGCACTTTAAGACATTTGAGGCTGAGAGAAAGGGGAAAATGTAAACAAAGAATATCACCAATTTTCATTCGAACAACTTGTTAATACTTGTTATTTATTTATATTGTTGTTTCATTTGTACAAATTGCACGATAACACCTTCAAATTCATTCAGCTTTCTTTGGAATTTCTTATTGAGTTTTTCCAACTTGATAAATTCTCTCCACTTTACATTTGGATTAGTTCCTGTATTATTTGGGAATGTAGCTGAAGGAAGAGACCTGATAACAGGGCTTGCACCAGTCATTCCAGTTACATCTCCATGCACAGCACAAAACTCGTTGGCCTCTTGTTCATCAGGGATTATAACTTCCTGCCTTTTCAAAA